AAAATGACTGGTAAAATAGTTTTTTTAGTACAATGTTTCTTTTTTAGTAAACTGTTTCAGTTTTGTCGTTAATCTTTTTAGAATATTTTAAGCAAGTATTGTTTTATTTTTTAGAGCAGTTAAGAGAAGCTGATGTCTTTTTTAGTAAGTTTAATTCATTTTATTATTTATAGATTATAAGATTGTTTTTTGTAGAAAAAATAATGAGAATAAAATTTTATTTATGTATTTAATATGAAAAGTTAAATAAAATTAGACTGTTATTTGTGGTCATGTAAGTTTATATACATAAGTTTGCATTTATTTCAGTCTATTTTATATTTCTTTATATCTGTATGTATATTTTCTCTTAGAAAAAATAATTAGGAAATAGGAAAAAATTTTTCTGGAATTTGAAATAAAAAAAATTCTTCTGGAATTTGTCAAATGAGTGTTGTTTTAGGCTTGATTTTAAGGTATCTGAATATTTATTTATTTGAAATTTTGAATTTTGTTATTAAATGGTTTCATCTTTTAGATAAATATATACTGACTGACATAACTTCATTTTTATTAACAATGTTGTGTATTTTTGCAGTCTGCATTCTTTGTTGTATTAAAAATAATTGATGCTAATAAATGTTTTTTTATAGTTGTTAAAAGTTTGCATATATGTTTATATTATGCTCAAAGTTAAAAAAGTTTTTGATAAGTGTGTGTATGTAGTGATATATGCTGTGTAATTTTCTTATAAATGTGTTTTTATAATATTATGAAATGTATTTTATTCAATGTGTATATGATTGTTAAATGAGGTGTTTTTTATGTTATATATCATAAAAAAAATATGTTGTGTTTTATAGTTAGTATATATGTTTATATGTTGTTTCCATGATTTCAAAGTGGTGTTACTTGGCAAACGTGTAGAGCAATATTTGTCAACCTTACAGTCAAGTGGTGTTACTGCTTTAGGTCTAAGTTTTGTCTAGGGTTTAACATAACTATGCTGAAAATACATAACATTATCTTTGATAATTTTTTGCGTAATGTTGTTACCTTTAGCTTATCTTTATGTTGGTGTTTGTTGTTTAAAAATGATTTCATTCACGAGTTCAAAATGTTTAATTAGACATTAAATATGTTTAGTAGCTTAAAATTATAGGTAATATATAATTTTTTTTTAAATTTATTAAGTAACTAAATTATTGTAATCTTTTTTTAAGTTGTACTTTTAAATTTAAAGCTTCGTGTTATAGATGTTAATATTGAAAATATAGATTACTACAATTTTTAGATGGTGTCTACCGTTAAAAGATGTTTACGGGTAGTTTCATGCTTTCACATGCTTTTAATAACTGGGATAAAAGCCATGACAACATTTTGTTATAATTAAAATTTATCTATAGTATTGTTAATACCTTTGTTCTTTAAAAAAATGTATGAAAAGAAAAGATATTTAAAAGTCTTATTGAGACAGATTTTTGTCACTTTATATCAAATTAGTTTAATTAAGATTTATTTTCTTTAGTTAATAAAGAGAGAGCTCATGAAGGTATTATTTACATTAGTTAGGTGAATTTATTCTTAAAAAATTCGGTAGATATGTTAACGTCTTTACATTTAAGTGCTTTTATTGTTTAGACACAGAGTTAAAGAGTGAGATAAGTCAGTGTTTTTGCTATTAGATATTTGTTATTAGGAATTTGTTTATTTGTACTGTAACTGGAATTTTAAAACTCCAAGTACCTTAGCTTTATTTTATTTTCCTTCTAGGAGAGTTGGATCAAAAACTAAGTATGAATTATATGATTAGTATAGTTAAATAAATAAGATATTTATATTAAGATTTATAAAGTTTTTTTTTAGTTTAAAGTTTTGGTTTAGTTTATAGTTATTTTTAGTTAGTTTTAGCTTCAGTTATCTTTTTTTTACCTTAGACAACTTTATGGAGGAAATGAGGGAAATAGGTAAAAAATTATAATTATAAATATATTTATGTTAACGTTATTTATATGTAAATATTATTCTATCAATTATTATGAGGTATGTTTTTTTGTCTTAAGTGTCTGGAAGAAGCATAACTGGTAGGGCTGTGTTTTGTATTTTATATATTTTGCAGGCCTTGCAATAAAGGGTTGGGCGATGTGAATTTTATGTTGTCCAAAAGCGATTTTGCTTGTAGCTGGAAAAAAAAATAAAAGGATTAATATTAAAACATATTCTACTTGATTCAATAAAAAGTACAGCTATTAAAATTTTTGTATAAAGTAACTCGAAAAAAATTACTTAAATAATAACAATTGCTTTTTTGTTAAAAGTTACTGAAACTCAACGAAGTGTGCTCATGAACAGCTGCTGAAAAAATAGAATGTCAATAGTTTTTCGAATAATTTTTAATAATAATTTTTAAAAATAGTTTTTTCGCTGAAATGTCTTTTATACCTATAAGATTTTTATTCTAACATTTTATTTTATTTTACCAAAAATAAAATTCCTTGTAAACATTAAAAATCTATTCAAAACGTTCGTTAAATTTTTTTAGTAATAGGAGTGATTGTGCTTATCAACCGCTTTATGAAAATAAATAAAAATAAATAAATAAAAAAATATTATATAAAATCGCTAGTAAAAATATTAGCTATTGCACAGTTTTTAATCGTACAATATTAAAATTTCCAGTTTATTACTTGCTGACTTTTTAAAAAGAAAAAATAATCATTTGAAAAACTTTAAATTACATATTTGAGAAAATCAAATATTAGCATATTTTATAATCTTTTTTAAATGTTTAGTTATAATGTTTTTTATTCGTTTAGTAGAAAAAACGCGTCAAACGTCGAGAAAATAAACCAATGTTTTTACATTTTAAAAAACGAAACATTCCAAAACATTTTTAAACAATAACATTTCTACATTAATGATTTAAAGTAGTTTTGCGGAAATTAAGTAAATTGCTGCAGTTAATGTCGATAAATATGAATAGCAAATAAAAAGAATTTAATGACGTCAAAAATTACGTCGTGCTTATGCGTCGCGCAGTTTTTATTCATCACAAGGCCTGATTTTGTATGGAGAAATATGTGCAATGTGTGAAAGAATTAATTAATTGATATGATATTTTTTAACTGTTCCTATTTTACTATTAAAATAAAAATTTTCACATTTAACCTTTTTTAATTAACCCTTTTTTTTTTTAAATGTTTAAGCATTGTCTTCTGTAATTAATGAAGCTGGTGAGGTTGTGGATTATATTTATATTAAATAAAATACTTTATTTAATATAAATATAATCCACAACCTATTTTTAATAGCAAGTTTTTATAATTTTTAATAAATATGACATTTTTAACTCTTCCTGTTTTACTTATATTTTTATTAAAATAATTTTTTTTTACATGTTTAAATTTTTTTAGTTAAATCTTTTTTTTTTTAATGTTTGAAGCTTCGTCTTTTGTTACCATTGAAAATGGTGAGGTTATGCTTTATATTTTAATTAAATAAAATTCCAAATATTTATAACTTTTATTATATTCTTTTATTTGTTATTTTAGATTAATTGACATTCGAAAGATATAAGAAATATTGCTCCTAACACCCAGGGCCTCTCTCAGTAAGGTCCTTCAATAAGTGGTGTTCAAATGGCAGTATGGATGAGTCCTCCTTCAAATGAATGGCTCATCCATAACGGGGTGTTAGGAGACACCAAAGATCAAACAGCAACAAAAGAGTTATAAATAACTTCTATCAGTTATGATATTTATAACTTTTTTGTTGCTGCTTTTTCTTCGGTGATTTTTTTTTTTAATTATTTTTGTAATTTTTTTTTTTTATATTGTAATTTTTTTTTTAATTGTAATTTTTTTGTTTAAGCTTGTAATTTATTTTTGTTTTTAATTTGTTTGTTTTTTTTGATAATATATTTTGTTGTATATTTGATTTGTTTTCTTCTTTTTTAATTAAAATGAAAACTAAATTAAACTCAAAATACAGTTAAATTGATTCATCCAATTATCATAGTATAATGATGCTATATTCAATTGTTAAAAATAATATATTGCACTTGCTGCTTTTAAAATTTACTATAAGCCGAGACAATATATTTAGCTATATAAATGCAATTAATTTATATCTCAATTTGATTTTTTATCTTAAATGTTTATAGTTTAGCTACTTAAAGCATTTTATTTTGCTTTTTATTTTAAATACTTTAAATATATTGTGATGTCTTCTAAATTAATTTAAAAAGAATGATGAAGTGTTATTATTTTGTGTTGAACTTAGAAATGTCGACAAAAATGGTTCTGCCTTACACTGATATGACCTATGTCAGTTGTAAATTACTCCAATGTGTTAAATAATAATTGGTAAATTATTTTACTTCCTCCTATTTATTATGTTAATTTTACCAAGAGATAAATTTGTTCAATTTAAAGGCGTTTTTCTAAAAGGGTATTAGTTAAGAATTGGCAACTTTAAATTGTGGAAAACAGCCACCATAAATTAATTATGTAACAGACCGACCATAACCCGTATTATGGCTTACTTTTTGCTAGTATATATGATTTATATTAATTTATATTTTTAGAAGTTCAGAAACCCCATTTTATATATATTTCTAAAATTAAATAAAAATAACTAATATAAGCCTAAGTAACTTTTATTAGTTATTAATTATTTGTAATGTTGTTAAAGATTAACAGCCTCAGACAAAACCCAAAATACTGTTTTTAAGCTTAATAAAAGATACATTTTTGTGTTAACCCAAATAGTACCTAACAAAATGCAATAATCAGACTAAATTTTTTTTTAAAAGAAATAATTAAATAGCCCAAATTTCCTTTGCAAGAAACAAAATTGTGTTAAAAATAAAGTCTTTTGTTTTACCTAAATAACTTGTTTTGGAAAGTTTAAGTAACAATTAACTTTTTTCTAATGATTATCCAAGATATAAACACAACTTATCTTGACGCTAGAGGTTTACTTTAAAAACACTAAAACTAATTTTTTTTTAAATAACTAACCTTTTCCGAAATTCCTTTGAAGTCATAACGTGCAATACATTCAGTTCCAGGAGAAAAACT